AGCCTAGTGAGCCGTGCCGCTGGCCTTGTTTTATTTTATTTAAAAGGCATTGAGGCAGAGACAGAGAAATATCCTCCACCTACTGGTCTACTTCAAAAAATGCCTGTCACAGCCAGGCTGGGTTAGGCTTGAGCTGAGAGCCAGAACACAATCTGGGGCCTCCCTCCTGGGTGGCAGGGACCCAAGGACTTGTGCCTCACAGGGTGTTCAGAGCAGGAGGAAGCTGGAATAGGAAGCAGAGCTAGGACTGAAACCCAAGCACTCTGGTATGGAATGTGCATATCCCAAGTGGTGCATACACTGCTGTGCCAAATGCCTGCCCCTTAAAGTTTTTAACACCTGTTTGGAAGTAATTTCCAAGCAGGGAGCTGGACCAGAAGTGGAGCAGCCGGGACTCGAACCGGCATCCATATGGGATACTGACATTGCAGGCAGCAGCTTTACCCGCTATGCCATAGCATCGGCCCTCTGATTTTCTAAATCATTTCAGAATCAGTTATACACAATTGTCGCTTACCCCTAAATTCTTAAGTATCTGTTTTTAAGATGAGGCATCTCTTATATAACCACAGTTACATAGTATCAACCTCAACGAATTTATCAACACTTTCATATGCCACCCACGGCCCGCCTTCTCCAGTGACCGGGTAACGGCCTTCATGCCGCTTCTTTTCCTTCCGGTACAAGCTCCAGTCTAGGACCAGGGGCACATTTACTTCTCCTGTCTCTTTGGTCCTCATTAATCTGGAACATTTCTTCAGCCCTTTTGGTCACCTTTTATGACACTGATACTTCTGAAGAACATAGTCCCGCCCTCCCCTTTGTAAGCCTCCTGTTTGGGAAGTTTTGCCTGATGTTTGCTCCTGATTGGATTCCTGACTGGGAATCCAGTGTCGACCTTACGGCATCAGGAGAGGGCACACCATGCCCATCTGCCCCTGAGAGGAGACGGTGGTCAAGGTGTGTGATGTTTCACTCCCTGGGTACAGTTTCCTTTTCTTCCTTGAAGTGAACATGCAATCAGCAAGAAGGTGCTTCTAACACCATGCCTGTGAACAGCCAGTCTTTGTCATAATGTGCCCTGCCCTACTCCTTAGGCGCCAGTGCTGCATTTCCCTGCAACATTCTTTCCATATTTTAAGTTCATTTATTCTTATTTATTTGAAAGGCAGAGTGACAGAGAGAAAGAAGGGAGAGAGAGCGAGCTCTTTCATCTGCTGGTTCACTCTCCAAATGCCTGCAAAAGCCAGGGCTGGGTCAGGCCAAAGCCAGGAGCCCCACGTGGGTGGCAAGGACCTACCACCCCCCAGGATGCACATTAACAGGAAGCTGGTTTGCAAGTGGAGGTGGAATTTGATCCCAGGCATTCTGATATGGGATGTGGGCATCCCACACAGAGGCACAACCCTCTGCGCCCCAACACCTCCTGACTGCTGTGTTGGTCTGCCAAATGATGCGCTTAAACTCCTGCCCTAGGTCCATGTGTACCAGGTGGCACTCGGCATTCAATGTGGGCAAGGGCCCGCTCTTCACACCACTCGTTCACTTATCAGTACGGATCCAGAGACTCCCACTTTTTCATTGGTTCATAATTTTGTTTACTGAGATTATTTTTGTGCTCAGGTGTGACAGATTTTGGCCAATGAGAATTTCTTCAATCTGGCTCCTATGTCCTTGTGACATCTTTATTTTTTCTTTTTTAAAAAACCTTTTTTGGGGCCAGCACTGTAGCGTAGTGGGTAAAGCTGCCGCCTACAGTGTCAGCATACCACATGGGCGCCAGTTTGAGTCCCGGCTGCTCTACTTCCAATATAGCTCCCTGCTATGACCTGGGGAAGCAGTGGAAGATGGCCCAAGTGCTTGGGCCCCTGTACCCACATGGGAGACCCGGAAGAAGCTCCTGGCTCCTGGCTTTGGATCAGTGCAACTCCAGCCGTTGCGGCCATCTGGGGAGTGAACCAGTGAATGGAGGACCTCTCTCTCTCTCTCTCTCTTTCTCTCTGCCTCTCCTCTCTCTCTCAATCTCTGCCTCTCTGTAACTCTGCCTTTCAAATAAATACATAATTTTTTTTTAAAAAACACCTCTTTCCTATTTTATGGCATAACAAGATGGTACCTTATACCTGTACCTGCCCTGCCTGGGCCTGGGAATCACTCACTTCTCTGAGGGGTCCTGATTCTGGTTTAACAGACCAAGATGTAAGTGCCAGATGATGTTTTTTCTGATGAGTAAAATCAATGGTAAAGCCATGTCTGTAAAGGTTTGGTCTTTTGATTATTTTTGCTAAAGTATTACCTTTTTTTTTTTGACAGGCAGAGTGGACAGTGAGAGAGAGACAGAGAGAAAGGTCTTCCTTTGCTGTTGGTTCACCCTTCAATGGCTGCCACGGCCAGCGCGCTGCAGCTGGCAGATCATGCTGATCCGAAGGCAGGAGCCAGGTGCTTTTCCTGGTCTCCCATGGGGTGCAGGGCCCAAGCACCTGGGCCATCCTCCACTGCACTCCCTGGCCACAGCAGAGAGCTGGCCTGGAAGAGGGGCAACCGGGACAGAATCCGGCGCCCTGACCGGGACTAGAACCCGGTGTGCCGGCGCCGCAAGGCGGAGGATTAGCCTAGTGAGCTGCGGCATCGGCCCTAAAGTATTACTTTTTATTTTTATTTATTTTCACTTTATTTGAACGAGAGAGAGAGACTGAGAGAGAGAATCTCCCACAGAATACTCACAGGTCTGGGGCCAGGCTGAAGCCAGGAGCGCTGAACTCCACCCACGTCTCCCACAGAGTGGTAGGGCCATCACTGCTGCCTCCCGGGATGCCCAAGAGCACAAAGCTCGATCGGAAGCAGAGGAACCGGGACTTCAACCAGGCATTCTGAGCAGATGCGGGTGTCCCTAGTGATGACTTAACCGTGCCTGCCTTGGTGTCACATTCTTAAATGAATATATATTTTAAGTATAAAGGTATAGTATATGTACTATATACATTTGTATTTATATAAAATACATAAATATAACTTTAATTGCAACTATTTTAGAAACGCTCCAAAATACAAATCAGTAAAAAGAAGCTAAGTCATGATATTACTTTTAAGGACTATTTTGAAAACCTTAGGCTTTTTATTTTTCTTTTGAGATTACAGTTTGCATACCAAGACCTCTATCTTTCTTAAAAAAAAGTCTAAAATGGCACCTTTTTTCCCCTTTTTGTCAGAATGTATAGAATGAAACCTCTTAGAATAAATCTGTTGGGGGGCAGGGGTTGTGTCACCTGCATTCCACATCAGAGTGCTGGTTCAAGGCCTGGATCCTGCTTCTTACTAATGCACTTGAGAAGGCAGTGGGTCATGGCCCGAGTAGTTGGGTGCCTGCCACCCATGGGAGACCCGGATGGAATTCCTGGTTTCAGCCTGGACCAGCCCCAGTTGTTGCAGATGTTTGGAGACTTGAACCAGCAGATGGAAGATCTCTTTGTCTGTCACTCTGTCTTTCAAATAAATAAATCGGCCGGCGCCACAGCTCAGTAGGTTAATCCTCCACCTTGCGGTGCCGGCACACCGAGTTCTAGTCCCGGTCGGGGCGCCGGATTCTGTCCCGGTTGCCCCTCTTCCAGGCCAGCTCTCTGCTGTGGCCAGGGAGTGCAGTGGAGGATGGCCCAAGTACTTGGGCCCTGCACCCCATGGGAGACCAGGATAAGTACCTGGCTCCTGCCATCGGATCAGCGTGGTGCGGCGGCCGCGGCGGCCATTGGAGGGTGACCCAACGGCAAAGGAAGACCTTTCTGTCTCTCTCTCTCACTGTCCACTCTGCCTGTCAAAAAAAAAAAAAAAAAAACCTGTTCCCAAATAAATAAATCTTAAATAAACATATGTAAAATATTTTGTTATACACAAAAGTGTCAGCTAAATTTGCCTGATAGCATAATACAATTTGAACACTTTATTAGCAGATAATTCCATAATGGATCATTTGGTGGCATATAGTTTTTTTTTTTTTTTTTTTTTTTTTAAGATTTATTTACTCTTTTGAAAGTCAGAGTTACAGAGAGAGAGGAAGAGACAAGGAGTGGTATCTTCCATCTGCTGGTTCACTCCCTAGATGACCACAATGGCCATGGTTAGGCCAGGTCGAATTTAGGAGCCAAAGAGTTCTTCCAGGTTCTCCCACGTGGGTGCAGGGGCCCAAGAACCTGAGCCATCTTCTTTTTCTCAGGTGCATTAGCGGGGAGCTGCATTGGAAGTGGAGCAGGTAGGACTCAAGCCAGCGCCCACATGGGATGCTGGTATCTGGGCAGCATTACCTGCTATTCCACAATGCTGGCCTCGGTGGCATATAGTTTTAATAAATCTTTGATGATCCTGTATTATATGTCTATTCCTGCATCATTTGCTTATGCTGACCGGGAAACTGCAATACATAAATGTGTGGTGCTATTTCTACAGTTTTCTTCCAGAATTGGTCCTGGTTCTGGTAGTCTTCTCATTCCAAACTTAAGAATATAACTACTAAAAATGTCTTGAAGGGGCGGGCATTGTGGCACAGCAGATTAAGCTTCCACTTGGGATGCCCGGATCCCATATCTAAGTGACAGTTTACATCCTGGCTTTTCTGTTTCTGGTCCAGCTTCTTGCTAATGCATCTTGGGAGGCAGAAGATGGCTGCCTGCCATCCATGTGGGAGCCTCAGGTTGAATTTTGAGCTCCTGGGCTTGGCCTGGGCTCCTGGCTGTTGAAGGTATTTGGGGAATGAACCAGCAGATGGAAACGGTCTGTCTCTCTCACTCTGCCTTTCAAATGAAATAAATAAAAACATGTTTTCAAATCTCTAATACCTAACAGCTTTTCCCACAACTTTCTATTCTCTCACTTCTAAAAGCAGTCTTAATTTAATCAGCTTAGTCTGAAATATAATCGTACCTAAGCATGCTGTCCACCTGGTATTTCTTCATCTTATAGAATGAGCTGTGTGATTAAAAGGCACCTAACACAGTTTTTCTGTGTTGCAGACTGGTCTGATGTACTGGCCCCTGGTCCAGGTGAGTTGCACACTACTCAGAACACTAAGCCCTGCTTTGGCTTCTGTGGAGCCCTCACCCCTTCTCTCTCTGTTCCAGCTGACCAACTTTGGCCTCGTTCCTGTTCACTGGAGAACAGCTTACACTGGACTCTGTGGCTTCCTCTGGGCCACCTTCCTTTGCTTCTCTCAGCAGAGTGGTGACGGCACACTGCGGTCGGCTTTCACTCTCCTTCGCAGAAAGGAAGCTGGGGCAGTTGAGAGGCCCCCGGAGAAGTAAGGGGTCAACAGCTCCCTTAAAGTGACCACATTTTGTTTTTCTAAAATGTACTGGGTGGCCTGTGGAGAACATACTTGACTTCCCAGTTGTGTGCTGCATTTTGAAGAATTACTATTCCACAGGCTCACTTGCTTTTTAATTACCAATGATTATTTACATTTATTCAAACCCTTCCCCTCTTCCAGTCTGAAAGTCTTACTTCCTGAATATTTTCACTTCTCTAATATTTTGATTAATAGTAACAGTGGCAGATGTCCATTTTAGAATAATTAATATTTATACTCATATTGTGATTCCAATTGATTTCAGGAACTCCACTTTTGATTGTTTACTTCTGTATTTTAAAACCTCAGGCTATCTTCTTAACGCTTTTGGGTCAGATTACCCTTTGTACCAAAAATAATCCTTAAAATACATTTCTACTTACAAACAACTCAGTCAATGAGAAGACTGAATAATTTGATCCTTCCCATACCATATACTAATTTATTGTTATGCTGATACTAAAATACTATAAGTACATTTTTATCATCAAAACAGTAAGTGTTTTGTAAGTGTGTTCTGTATAGAATGTATTTTATCAGTGTCTCCTACTTTTATAATTTCTAAGCTAAGTACATTTCAATTGATAATTTTTGGTTTTGAGCCTTTTCAGTTGACTACAGCATTCCATTTTCAAGATATATAAAATAATTCAGCTTCTTAATGAAATACACTGAATGAAAAGTTCTAAAACACAAGTTTTCTTCCTCTGGAAGGAAGAACTCTCACCCATATGATACCACGGAAGGTGGTCACCTCGCATTTCACACCGATAGTTATCTTTAAAATTCAGCACTTTAATATAAATCTTTATACTTTAAAGTAGACATGAAAAACTTAATTCAGTCTTTCAGATTTATTCAATTTGTCTAACCTCAGGTTTAAAAATTATGTATCTCAAGGAGTTTCAGCAAATTAAGAATTATACCATTCTGTTGTTTCCAATGGTGTATTTTCACATGTTTTACAATGTTGAGCACTTAACTGTTAATTTATCTCAAGAATGTATACTTGAGGCTAATTTAAGAATGTATATTAAAATTTCTATGCATATATGATTTTAATGTTTATAAAAATCATAAGTATATAATTTATCTGAATTGAATAGGTATTAATATATTTTATATTAGGACAATATAGAAATAAGGAAATTTCTAGGTGGTCTAAATTGTAAAACAATTTGTTTTTGCATTATTTTAAAAGCAGTTAATAGAACAGAAAAGCTATTTCATGATAGATGAGGCAAATACTTCAAAAGCTTATCCAGGGTGATTACAGGCAAGGTTTTAGATGAGCTTCAACATTACTTTTATGATGCAAGCCTTGGAAAAACAGACCTTGCTTATACTGTCAAAAGGAAAAAAAGGAAAGCTTAATGTTTACAAAAATTACAGTATGATGGTCTTCACTAATACTGTACTGTGCTAATTCTGAATTTTTGCAAATAATACACTTAATTTTCATGCAATGGTAATTTTGTGTTTTGGTGTAAAAAATGGAACTTATTCTAAATACAAGCATATTTAACCACTTCATGGAAAAATGGAATTAAAAGTCTAAGTTTATTTGGGTGCAAAAATAATTTTGAAATCTATGCATGAGTTTTTTATAATACACACTGACCACATATTATTAAATTTTTTTCATCAAAATAAACTAACACTTTTTTAAAAAAGATTTATTTATTTATTTGAAAGTCAGAGTTACACAAAGAAAGGAGAGGCAGAGAGAGAGAGAGAGAGGTCTTTCATCCTCTGGTTCACTCCCCAATTGGCCGCAATGGCTGCAGCTACCCTGATCTGAAGCCAGGAGCCAGGATCTTCTTCTGGGTCTCCCACATGGGTGCAGGGACCTAAGGACTTGGGCCATCTTCTACTGTTTTCCCAGGCCATAGCAGAGAGCTGGATCAGAAGTGGAGCAGCCGGGCCAGCGCCGTGGCTCACTAGGCTAATCCTCCACCTGTGGTGCTGGCACCCCGGGTTCTAGTCCCGGTTGGGGCGCCGGATTCTGTCCCAGTTGCTCTCTTCTAGTCCAGGTCTCTGCTGTGGCCCGGGAAGGCAGTGGAGGATGGCCCAAGTGCTTGGGCCCTGTACCCACATGGGAGACCAGGAGGCCATTTTGGGGGTGAACCAATGGAAGGAAGATCTTTCTCTCTGTCTCTCTCTCTCACTAACTCTGCCTGTAAAAAAAAAAGAAGTGGAGCAGCCAGGACCCAAACTGGCATCCATATGGGAAGCCGGCACTGCAGGCGGCAGCTTTACCCAGTACGCCACAGTGCTGGCCCCTAAATTCACACTTTTAATCCCAGATTCCACAGACTTTGAAGTACCCTCAAAATACAGAGTATGGCTGTTATAAAATTCTGCCATCTTCAGTGATACATGCCCTAGACCTTCCAGGATTTACAACTGGGCAGGCAGCGCCACTCTTTCTTCCAGTTCTCACCATTCTCTAAGATTTCTTCACACTTGGATGTTGCCCCACCACGCTCTGGCCCCAGCTTGTTTAGGTAAAGGATAAACCTATAATTTATTTCCCTTAGCAGAGTCGAGAGAGACTGGATTCTCAAAGTAACTTTACTTAATACAAGCACAAAAAGTGATACTGAAAACATTGTAAAAAACAAACAACAATAATAACAATGACAAAGCAGCTTACAGGATACTGGTTGCTGATCCTTTGTGGTTAGTTTGAAGTCATGGATCACTGACCCTGTTCTAGGTCCAGGCATTTGGGGTGTTGGTCCTGCCGCTCTCAGGGCACCTCCTCCACATTCTTTCTTTTGTGACTTTGTCATGGTGTGACAGTGCCATGGGACATCCACCACCAGGAAGCAGACTGCCTGGCCCTGGCACCAGCACAATCAAGAGAAAGCCAGGGTCTCATCTTTTTGGACTGCTCTTCTCTATGTCCAGTCTCCAAGGTACATCTTGTCCTGGATAACTGGAAAGTGATTTTTCAAGTCATGGGCAATCTTCCCTTCTATACAAAGGATGCAACTACCCTTATAATCCGTCAGGGTAACCACAGCCATTAAGGTAACCATAATCCTCATGTAAAGAAGTCACAAATGTTATTAAATGGCCAGTGTGTGCACCAAATGAGGATAAACACCGCAGTGATAACATTGTTAGGGAGTTCACTGACTAACTGAAATGATAGTTAAAACAAAAACAAAACCGGGGGCCAGCATTGTGGTATAGTGTTAAGCTGCCACCTAGGACGCTGGCATTTCATATGAATAGTGGTTCAAGTTCTGGCCACTCCTCTTCTGATCCAGCTTCCTGCTAATGTGCCTGGGAAAGCAGCAGATGATGGCCCAAGTGCTTGCGCTCCTGCACCTGTGTGGGAGACCTGTATGAAGCTCCTGGCTTTGGCCTGGCCTAACCCTGCCATTGTGGCCATTTGGGGAGTGAACCAGCAGATGGCAGATCTGTCTCTGTCTCTGTCTCTCTGTCTATCTCTCTCTGTAACTCTTCCTTTCAAATAAATTAAAAAAAAAAAATCTTAAAACAGCAACAAAAAAAAACCCTGATCATCAGATTAGGGACATCTACTCCAACCCACCATGCTTGAATGACACTGGTGACAGGTGGCCAACAGAAAGCTTGACTACTGCTCTCTAATATGCTCAGCTTTAGCAGGTTAGTGACATAAGCAGTAGGTACTTTGAAACCATGGTGCCCTGGTAATCTGGAGGAGATTCTTGAGCCATATCTTGAAGGATGGAAAGCACACGACTGTAAGGATCTGAGAACAGGAGCAGTGGTGGTGGAATGAGATGAAATCTGGAAGGAGAAATACAGGATGTGTACGTGCTGATGGAGACAGGAAGTTTCCACTGACCATTCCGCAGCACGTGCCTCTGCTCCTCTTACTTGTCATTACAAATCATGGAACTTCATTTGTAGGAAAATTGATAAACGTTATTCTCTTTTATCTGTATCCTGGCTGGTTTTGTGACACAGAATTAGGCAACTGGACAGTTTGCATGTCTTTAAAATTTTCACATAACCAAGAGTGACATGTGAAAAAAACCTTTTCTGTAAGACTTCCATATTTTTCTTAAAATCCACTCAGTAAGGTGATTCAGTGGACAAATTGATTCTTTGCCCACTATACAGTCAGTGAAATCTAGCAGTTAGGGATTCATACAAATAAACGGTGCTTCAGATAAATTTAATTATTTGTGTCAATACTGCTTGAGCAAGAATGAGAAAACTGTTTAGTGAATGAAAGGAATCACAGATAATGAAAGTTATAGTTCAAAGAGGAAAGCGTTCTCATATTCGAGTACTTCATTAGCAACTATAATTTCATGCTTTGAGGAAAAATGTGTTCTGTTTCTTTCACATTACAACTTATAGGTAAAACAACTTTGGTATTTGAGGTTGTATCTAAATATGTCAGCAATGTTAACTACAATGAACCAAATTAAAAGCACTTCGTCTGTTTAATAGAGCTAGAGTATGCAGATTCACAATTTCTAGCCTATCCGTCATTGCCATGTACTTTATTTGATTACTGGTTTTCTTCCAAGGACCATCATCCTTTAGGATCCATTTGAAGCTATCAAAAAATATTTTCTTGCTACACATGCAATCTACTTTTAGTTCAGTGGAATTTTATGTGAATTTCTATAGAGTATTTGCAAAAACAAATTCTATCTAGGTCATGCTTAACATTATATTCTGGAGGCAGCTTTCATTTGAAATTAGGTTCATCTTCTGAGAGTATTAAAAAGTTAATGGATTTTTGTGCCTGAAGATTTTGACCTCACAATGGCTACATTTAATCTAGTTTTACCCATAAGGCTTACAGTCCAAAGGAACTAAATCAGTGAAAATGCAATTAAAACTACCGAAAATCCTTTCTTTAAGACTGTTAACATCTGATAAATAAAAAGAGAAATCTGGGGTTTAAAGATAAAGTATGTGGGCGGGCTGTGTGACACAGCAGGCTAAGCCGCTGTCCCGTCCCTTATCAGCGAGCGTGGCTGAAGTCCCAGCTGCTCTGCTTCCTGTCCAGCTTCCTGCTAAAGCATCCTAGGAGGTAGCAAATGATGACTCAAGTACTTGGGCTCCTGCCACCCATGTGGGAGATGCGGGTGGAGTTCTGGACTAGACTGTTGGACAGTCACTCTCTTTATATTGTTCTGCCTTTCAAATACATTAAAAAGAATAAACCCTTTTTTTAAAAAAAAAAAAAAAAAGCACTATTTTGTATATGGGAGTATTTAAAAAAGTTTCTGGAAAAACAAAATTATAAGACAAGTTTAAGGGCTGGCATTAAGCTATCACCTGCAACACCAGCATCCTGTATCCTTTTTTTTTTTTTTTTTTTAAAGGTAAGTTTATTTTGATGCAAAATAACTTGAGATCAGGGCCGGCACAGTGGCTCAATAGGCTAATCCTCTGCCTGTGGCGCCGGCACATTGGGTTCTAGTCCCGGTCGGGGCGCCGGATTCTGTCCCTGTTGCCCCTCTTCCAGGCCAGCTCTCTGCTGTGGCCTGGGAAGGCAGTGGAGGATGGCCCAGGTGCTTGGGCCCTGCACCCGCATGGGAGACCAGGAGGAAGTGCCTGGCTCCTGGCTTCGGATCAGCGCGGTGCGCTGGCCGCAGCGGCCATTGGAGAGTGAACCAATGGCAAGAGGAAGACCTTTCTCTCTGTCTCTCTCTCTCACTGTCCACTCTGCCTGTCAAAAAATAATAATAATAATAATGATTTAAGATCAACAAGTTGTTTTCATATTATGCATTTTCCATGGTGGTTTTTTTAATTAATTTATTTATTTGAAAATCAGAGTTACACAGAGAGAGGAGAGGCAGAGAGAGAGAGGTCTTCCATCCGCTGGTTCACTCCCCAATTGGCTGCAATGGCCGGAGCTGCATTGATCAGAAGCCATTAGCCAGGAGCTTCTTCCGGGTCTCCCATGGGGGTGCAGGGGCCCAAGGATTTGGGCCATCTTGTACTGCTTTCCCAGGCCACAGTAGAGAGCTGGATCCCAAGTGGAACAGCCGGGACCAGAACCAGCGCCCATATGGGATGCTGGCACTTCAAGCCAGGGCATTAACCTACTGCACCACAGCACTGGCCTCCACGGCCCCCATAGTGTTGTGCTTTTTAAAGATTTTTATTTATTTATTTGAAAGGCAGAGTGACAAAGAGAGACACATGGAGAGAGAGAGAGATCTGCCATCCACTGATTCACTCCCCAAATGGCAGCCAGGTCCGAGCCAGATGGAAGCTAGGAGCCAGGAACTCCATCTTGGTCTCAAACATGGGGACAGGGACCCTTGCACTTGGCCCATCTTCTGCTGTCTTCCCCAGGTGCATTAGCAGGGAGCTGGATCTCAAGCCAAATAGCTTAGACTCCAACCAGGCCCCCTGTGTGAAGGAATTCTGTGCTTTTCTGATTCTCTTCCCCTTTCTAAGTCTGTCTTTACTTACCTGAGTCTTTATTCATCCATCTCTCTCCTGTTACTTTGTCAGTGCCCCCCAAGCCCAACCAAGCTCGGCTGTAACAGTCTGCTTTTTACTACTAAAATGAGACGCCTGATGCAGGTTACTTTACGAGGGAGAGTTCTGTGCTGGAGGCACAAGCTCTAGGCACTGCATCTGGCGATGGAGTTTCTGCTGGCAGAGTTCCAAGGCAACGCAGGGCATCATGTGGCAGGAAAAAGGGAGTGTGTGTGCACACGTGTGTGTTTGGTCTTTCTCCCTCTTCTTACAAAGCCACCATAATCCAATAATGGGGACTTTGCCCTAATGATTTTATCTAAACCTAATCATTTTCCAAATGCCCTCACCTCCAGCCACCACAGCTGAATTAAATTTCTACCTTAATTTCTCCTGATGGGGGGATTAAATTTCCACACATGAACTTTTGGGGGACACATCAAAGTAGCCAAACCACAGCACCCCTTTTTTCCGCCCCTCCTCTCCTGCCTGTACTCACACCAACCAAATGCTCCAGGAAGACAGTGACTAGAATGAAGTAAGGGCTCACTACATGTGTACTGTACTTAAGTGACAGCCATTCGTTAGCAAGGATGGTGGTAGAATCCCCGCTCTGGTCTCTGCAAGAAAAACAAGCAAGAAGGATGAATTCTCAGAATTTTTTTTTTTCTGGTGAGAGGCAGACAGAGATAATAGAAAAGAGAGCGCCTGTCCTTTGGTTCACTCCCAAATGCCTGCAAGGGTCAAGGCTAGGTTGGATTGGGCTGGGCTGAAGCCAAGAGCTGAGAACCCATTCTCCTATGTGGGTGGTAAGAACCCAAGCACCTGAGCTGTCCCTGCTGCCTCCCAGGGTGTGCCTGAACAGGAAGATGGAAACAGAGCTGGTTGAACCCAGGCACTTGATATGGGATGCTAGACCACAGCACCCCTGCAGCCCTAGGAATAATTTTGAAGTGAGTAAACCTTAGATGCTCCGTCTTTTCTGACACCTTCTCCTTCCTCTGGGTGTTCTTTCTCTCCATTCTCAAAATGGCTATGGCTTTGTATCTCCCAAATTAGCTCTCCCTTCTTTTCTTAGCTTCTCAAAACTCATTTTCTTTATCTGGCTGATTTCAGCTAGGTGTTAGAAAAGCAGGCTTATTAAACTGATTTACTGAGATGTGGAGGCTGACCTTTTTAGTTGAGAATTTTTTGAAAAATTAAAATTAATAATAGAAACTTATCTTTGGATGAATTTTTGGGAACTGTTTCTGGGGGTGGGGAGACTGGGGTGTGTTTTTGGACAAAGACTTCTGATACACTGTACATTATGCTGCCTACTTCCCTTTGGATTAAAATCAGTATGGCAAGGATCTTTGCCACGTCTGAATAATGCCATTGCAGTATTTGCAATGGGAAGTTCCATCTGTCCATTTTCTAATACTTCTATCAGTGTCCTGGTTTTCTGAGCCATGAGCCCAGAATGCTGTCTTCATATTTTAGGTACCCGGTGTTCTAGAAGCAACCAGTGTTGCTTCATTCTTAAGTTTTAATTATCTGTGTATCATGTATGTTAAAATTTTGAAATAATGTGACAATGTATATGAAAAATAAATGAATTTTAATTAAGTATAGCAAATGACTGGCTGTTTTGTGTTGCTGGTGATATGAATATTCTGGGAGATGTATAAGGGTAATGAAATGTATAGCCTGTTATCTTTCCTATTCATATTTACTGCAAACACAAAGATTTACGTCTTCACTTTGGATGTCTGTATTGAGATACAAGTTGTCCTTTAGATTCATGTGTGTTCTTTAACACTTACTGAATTCCTTCAAATGTTAGCCTGTTTTCTTTGTATGTCATCACAGAGCAGAATACTTGAGAGTTGCAATATTTCCCCAGTGACTTCTCGAAAAAAAAAAAAATCACATTTCTTGCACACCCTGGGAAGTAGCAGTTGTGGCTCAAGTACTTGAATTCTTGCTACTCATTTGGGGGACCTGTATGGGTTCCAGGCTCCTGGCTTCAGCTTGGCCCAGCCCTAGCTTTTGATAGCATTTAGGGGAGTGAACCAGATGGGAGGTCTTTCTCTTTTGAACAAAAATAAGTAACTTAAAAAACACATTCTTTTTGTAGCATAAGTAGAAAAAATGCAGTGTTAGGATTCCTCTTATTAGTACTGAGGAGGCAAATTTAAACCTAAACTTCAAATTATTGAAGCTTTCCATATTTTCTATATTTCCATGTTTTTCATGTGGTCTAGAGTCCACTAATTTCTTCTTCTGTCTTGACTGAAAGAGATTTCCCTGCACATATTTAATAAAGGAACTGAGAACAGGTATTTGGAAAATGTGTTGAACTGTTCCATAGTTGAGTTCAGCAACCATTTATACATGTATTGTTATCTTTAAACTTATGAGGTTACTTCAAAAAGTTCTTGGAAAATGGAATTAAAGGATATGTTTATTTTGGTGAAAATCTGTTTTGAAATCCATGCATAGTTTTTCAGTAGCACACATTTTCTATGGACTTTTTGAAGACCCCTTTTATTTATACACATGCCTGACTATTACATTGGATTTTTCTGTGGCTCGGGGATCTGAACCAGTTTGCTACCCTTTCTGTTTTTAATTGCACTTTTATTTTAGGCGTCTCTGTTATTATACATTTCTATTGTTATAACAGCTCATATTATAATTGACCTGTTGTGGTTATAATGGGAATAGTTAAGTACTTTCATGAAATTAATTTGGAGGAATGGGGGAGTTGAGATTCCCTTCCTGTATTACACGCTTAGCTTTTGGGTCTATAATTTGAACAGGGATGGAACAAATGAAATATTACATGCAGAACTCAGGTGTCTTTTTTTTTTTTTTTTTTATTTTTCCAAATAGAAAAAAGAAAAGAAAAAAAAAAAATAAAAAGATTAATATAGAGTTCTATCTTGGAGGGGGGGGGGGAGGGGGGGGGGTGGGCTGGGTGTAGATCTTTTTACGTTCTATTCGTGCTGCGCCCAGCCACCCGGCCCCCGCCCACCTCTTTACTTTTTACTCTCGCATTTTTACGCAGCTTTGGGTGAGCGGGCAGAGGTGCTAGGGGACCAGCGCGCTAGATCGATACATGGGGCGACAATCAAGACACACTAGCGTTGATACTACCTACCTGTCCGCCACGGACACTCACTTACCGTGAGCGTAACGGCGCACGAGCACATAGACGGGTAAGTGAAACAGAAAACGCATATGACCAAAGGAATGAAAACGAAAACCAAAACACACTCAAACTAATTTCTAGGTATGATAAAAGATGAGTAAGCGGTGGTAGCAGGCAGCAGTTGACGACGTGATGAAAAAAAGCATACTACTTAGAGAGATGACGATGGAGACAAAATTCGAAATGGAATACGTCCGTTAACCATATGATCCCATACGGACCG